AATAATGTTTGCATGAATTGATATGACATTTCTGAGATTAGAGCTGCTAAGCACCACTTAGTCACTGTGATTAGCCGTTAGATCATCAATCTGGTAAGAACAAATCTCCGTTTCCTCAGACTGAGGTTGTTCAAGCAGCAATCTACAATCAACACGCAAGTTAGGTGTATAATCTTGTCTCTTCATAAAATTAAGGAAATTTAAACCTAACAACTCTGAAATAACAAAAAAGCTGTCCTTGTAGGGGAAACTAGCAATATACGTGATTATGTTGGGGTCTTTTTGGTCAAGATCTTTGAGCAGTTGTAGCTTTCAATTCCTTTTGAAAATAACTTTCTTCTGTGATCATTTTTACTGCAATGTTCAATTTCATTCCCAGTTTTTTAAAATTTGCAACAACTCCAAACGATCCTCATTCAAGTATTCTACCGCGTCGGTAAACATCTGATTCGTATTTAATAACAGCGCCTCTATCCAAGAAGAACTTTCCCTCGGCGTCGGTTTTTGAGTCATCTAATTCTTTTTCAGTAACATGACTTGAACTGCCAACTGGAAGACTCTCTTTAGTGATGAACGGGTGGCGGAGAGCGTCCGCTGGGAGGATGTAGTCTTCTGGATTCATCACAAGAATCTTAAGGAGGTCTACAAACGATGAGAAGTCTTCAAGTTCAGAAGGTTTTCTTTTTACCGATTCAATTGTCAAAACATTTTCTAGAGATGTTAAATCATCAAAATGAGGCAAGCAATTCTCATCTGTCTCTCCGCCGTCCAGTATGAATTCACCTGGTGTTTTGAAAGTCCAGACGATCTCCGATACTTTCTGGCTCCATTTAAAGAAGCACTGGACTTGCCAACCCTCAGTCAGTGATCTTTTATCTGGCAGACCAAGGAGCTTTGTCATGACTCTAAAAACTTCATATTCAGATCCATGAGGAAAGAGGTCCCGATCCATAATCAAAAAGGCTGATACACAGCCCACACTCCACATATCTACGCCTTCATCATATGGGAGACCCGGACACACTTCTGGTGCTCTGGACTGTTTATTTTGAAACGCATCAAACTTTGATAATGTTCTTGTTTCTTGCGCCACTCTAAAATCAATCAATTTCACTTTAAAGGGCTGTGAATCATGATTTACCAGCATGATATAATCTGGTTTTACATATGAATTTGTGGTGCCAGAGTTTTTCAAAGCTCTGAGGGCAACAAATAACTGTTTAGCGATTGGTCTGATTTCGGACACCCTGAGAGGTGTGTAATCTTGTCTTTTCATAAACTCATTCAAATCTAAATCCAACAGCTCTGAAATTATGAAAAAGCTGTCCTTGTAGGCAAAACTACCTATATATGTGATTTTGTTGTTTTGTTGGAGGTCAAGTTCTCTGAGAAGGTGCAAAGTTTTCACTTCTTGTTTAAATAATATTCTTCTGTGATTATTTTTACTGCAACGTCCAGTTTTGTTGCCAGTTTTCTGAACTTTCCAACATTTCCAAACGATCCAGCTCCAAGCACTTCATCACATCGGTAAACATCTGATTTGTATTTAATAACAGCGCCTTCATCTAAGGAGGATGCTTCCTCTGAGCTGTTCATTGAGCCATCAGATGGGTGCTTTCTAGTAAGGAATTCGTGTTTTAGAGCTTCAGCTAGGGACTTTCTGTCATTTCGAACAGTAGCATTTTCTTAAGCAAATCTACAAAGGATTTGATGTCTTCAGCGTCAGTGGGATCAGAATTTTGGGGCAGAGTTTCCTTTAATAGGTCCAGAGAATCAAGATAATTGTAAGATGAGTCGCTTTGATCCCATCTCCTTCTTTTTTTTCTATTTATATTCTTCTGGAGATTTTAACCTCCCATCAGGGTCCTGTTTGAAAAGCAGTTGGGTACATCGCCCTTGATCCAGGAGGTTGTGTTTAGGCTGACCAAGAACCCTGACTATCATCTTCATGTATTCATACTCACAGAAAGTCGAAACAGCGAAGACCCGAAACAGAGCTGAGCTAATGTACAGCCTGAACTCTACACACCTGCTCTTTCATCCAGTAGACTGGTAAAGAGAATCTCTGGGGCACTAAACCCACAAGTAATTGGTATCTCCATCTTTGAACGTTCTGATGTTTTTCCAGCAGAACTGAATCCATTCAACTTTACATCTGTTGATCACAAGCTCAATAGGTTCTGCTGTTATGTTTGGATGAGTGGTGCTAATTTAACCCAAAGGACCCGTGGTGACACTGTTGTCACAGCCCATTTAAAGCATCTGTAAAAATGCTTCTTGAGTCACACATTCAAGTTTGACAACCCTAAGTGACATTCTATCCATACATTAAAAAAATCACTTTATGTTCAATTTTTTTTTTCGATTCTCTTACTCCTAATTTCTATTTCAAAAGGGCTTCGGCACCCAAGGGTCAAACCCGTGGTCATTTTTCAGTGGCATGTTTTATTTAGAAATAATCTACAGGAAGTGCAGATAAGTTACGTTTAGCTTTATGAAGGCTGCATGTAGTACCAGATTCGGTCCACTAGGGGACAGAAAAATCCTTAATTTCAAAAGCCAGACGTTTACGCATTGATTTATCCAGTTGATCTAAATAATACAGGAAACGTCTGCACCCATTTGCTTCTGATGACCAGTCCATCACCACACAACCATTGTGTTTAACACTGTTACTCAGTTGCTCACTAGTACTGCTGTGGGGCAGATGCAGCTCAGGAGGTAGAGAAGGTTGTCTAATAATTAGAAAGTTGCAGGTTCAATCCTGGCTTCAACCAGAAAATGCTGCTGTTGTGTCCTTGGGCAAAACACTAAACCCGCCGTGCATGTTGGTGGTGGTCAGAGGGACCAGTGGCACCAGGGTATGGAAGGCACCACCTCCATCAATTCACCCCAGAAGAAGAAAATATAATTTCTATAGCGCCTCTCAAGATAAAAATCACGAGGCGCTCCCAGGGCAGCTGTGGCTACATCGTAGCTCATCCACCACCACCAGCATGTGAATGTGTGTATGAACGGGTGAATGACTGTGTTGTGAAGCTCCTTGGGGGGGGGGGGGGGGGGGCTGTAGAAACCTATGAAGGCGCTATACAAATACAGGCCATTCACTCAATTTAAAAAAATGCAGTTTTAAGCAGCTTTTCAGAGTTTTCATTGAATATTTTCTACAACAGAATGACAGTAAAAGTACCCGTAACATTTTTAGATCTAGTGACCTCAGTACCAGAGACTGGAAAGCCCAACCCACGTAGCCTGGCCTGCCAGACTCCTCCTCTGTTTAATTCTGCACAGAGAAATTCTGCACTTTCTCTGTGCAGAATTAAACAGAGGAGGAGTCTGGCAGGCCAGGCTACAACCCAACAGCAAGGAAGCAGAGTCCGGGGACTTTAGGTTGGGCTCTCCTGGGCATCTCTGGGGCTGAGGTCACTGAGGTTGTCAAAAAGCTCCTCTGTGGCAAGGCTTTGAGGGTGGATGAGATCCGTCCAGAGTTCCTTGAAGCTCTGGATGTTGTAGAGTTGTGTTGGCTCACCTCTGCAATATCACATGGACATCGGTATGTAAGAATTAAAATGCCACAACTGAGCACTTGCTTTTTCAATTTGAGAGCAGAGTTTCTTATCAAGAAACCAACTTTTTAATTTGAGAATAAGATTTTATGTTTGCTCTCAAAACTTGTAATTCTTGCACTCAAAATGTCGTCTCTCTTTCAAACATGCTCTCTTCTCCCTCAAATCTTTGTTTCTGCTCAGATTTTATGCTTCTTACAAAGATGTTTGCTCCACACACAAACTTTCTCTCTACGCGGATCAAAGCTGCTCTCTCAAGGCCTGTCTCCTCTGCTCACTGATTTTTTTTTTTTTTTTGCTCTCTCAAATCCTGAGTACCGTTGCCTAGAAACCACTAGAAATGATCTAAATGATAAATGATCCACATGTATAGCACCTTTCAGGGTCAGAGGACTCCAAAGCTCTTTACCATGTAGCCACAGCTGGCCTGGGACACTGACAGGTGAGGCTCCTGAGCACAGGCACTTCCGGTCCCTCTGACCACCACCAGCAGTCTTGCCTAAGGACACAACAGCAGCATTCTCTGCCCAGATCCGGGATCGAACCTGCAACTTTTCAATTACTGGACAACCTTTAGAGCTACTGCTGCCCTAAGCTTTACATTCATCTTTACAGTTATTTTATTTTCTGGGGCACATTTATGTTTGAGCAAGCCTTTTCACCTTCACTGATCATTTTCTGTTTTTCCTGTTTATGTGGAGAGTTGGGCCGTAACCATTCAGGTGTGCAGGCTCTCTTATGTCATCTTACTGCTTGGATGCTCAGACGTCAACACAACATGATGCAGTTATAGATTACCGTAGGTTTCTACATCTTTATTAATAATACGGTTCATGTAAATGTTTATTTTCTTCTTCTGCATTCTCCAGACCACCAACAAGAACTCTTTCCAGAATCCATTCAGGACGTGACAGCTGGACTACATACTCTCTTTTTAGGAGATGCACCTGTAAATGCTACACAAACAGGGAGTTTAGGGAGCAATAATATAAAATCTTATTCTCAAGTTAAAAAGTTGGTTTCTTGATGTGAAATTCTGCTCTCAAACTGAAAATGCAAGCACCCAGTTATGGCATTTTAATTCTTCCATATTTAATCTGATCAGGCTGGATGTGAAAGGGCGAGAAACATAAAGGCACTCTGTCGCCATCTGCTGGTAAAACACTTTGTTCACGACATCTGAGCTGTGGTCCACTTAAAACGGCTTCTGAACATTTAAAGATTTGTGTTAATAGATCACATATTGAAGAGCATCCCATACAAGCAGCAAATTCAACAAAATAAAATAAACAGCCTTAGTCTGGCCAGCAGGGGGCAGCACAGACACATACAATATATATTTTTACTAGTAAACTTTGATTTAAAGTGAATCATACTTAAAAATGTTTAAGTATCTTCATCTTATCTGATAGCAAAATAAATCCCATTGATCAGTTTTAACTTAAACAGTCTTCAAGAGTTTATTTGCAAAAGTTATAAATAACTTAAAAGCTTCATGAAGAGCCTCTCTCCAGAGAAATAATTAGGTTCTTTCAGGACTGATGTGCTAACAGCTAGTCCAAACCAGCCAAGACCAAAGTGTGTTGCAGTCATATCTACAAATAGTCTCAGTTTAGAGAACAGGAGATTAGACTAATAGTTCTGACTGAACAGAAGCTCTAGCAACTCATTTAATAAATGTCAAAACTCCAGTCCTCAGGATTTCAGGTTTTATAACATTTATATTGTCAAAATCTTCCCATTTTCTGGTTATTCTAAAAAATTATCATGAACAGCTAAGTCCTGCTGCAACCAGCCACCATAATCTATGTAAAAAGCCATATAATGGTACATTTACAATAGTGTAAGAGCTCATTAAATAATGTTTGCATGAATTGATATGACATTTCTGGGATTAGAGCTGCTAAGCACCACTTGGTCACTGTGATTAGCCGTTAGATCATCAATCTGGTAAGAACAAATCTCCGTTTCCTCAGACTGAGGTTGTTCAAGCAGCAATCTACAATCAAGTTAGTTATTATTTAACCTTTAACCAGAAACACACATGATGGCTGAAATGTCCCTCGTGCACAGATTTTAAACAGCATGATGTCAGATTCTATCAGTGACTATAGATTCATCACCAAGTTGCATCAAATATCTGTATTAGCTTTATATTTATAACGCTACAGCCAATAACAGCTGGTTTGCGTGCAGCACATCCCAGAGATGCACAGCTGACCTGAACCATCTGGAGATAAGATGCCGGTGAACTGGACTTTTAACTCTTAGTTAAGATACTTTCAGCGTGCTTAGACCCATCCCTGAATATTCTGCACAGTGAAGATCTCTGATAAGCCTCTTTGTCATCCCCTCTGGCCCAACACTAATACACAGACCCGATGCAGGAAAGAAAAACTTTACAATGGCCACTTAAGTATCATGTGAGGTCTCTGGGTTGGTTGGTTTGAGATTAAACGTCCATTGGAACAAAATGTGCATCTATAGTTGGTACTCCTTCAGGATCTGTCCTGCGATCACCAGTCTCTGGATCTCACTGGTGCCCTCGTAGATCTCCGTGATGCGTGCGTCGCGGTAGTGCCTCTCTGCAGGCATGTCCGTCACATAACCCATCCCTCCCAGAATCTGAATGGCCTGGTCAGGCGGACAAGCAGAATTAAAAACACCGCACTCCCATTTACACTCATCTCCTTTTGGCTGAGCTTGCCCGTTACCTGATGAGAGCAGAAAGTGGCCGCCTCAGAAGCAGAAAGCTTGGCCATGGCGGCTTCCTGTAGAGAAAAGAGCCAAAGGTGGTGTCTGGAGCTACAGAGGGGTAAAGCTTCACATCAGAGGGGCCTGTTTACCTTAGTGAAGGGCTTTTTGGAATCTCGAAGAAGTGCAGCTTTCCAGGTGAGCAGGCGAGCGCTCTCTAACGCAACTGCCATGTCAGCCAGTTTAAACTGGATGGCAAGAAGAAAAAACACAAACGTGAGAAAATCCTTTAGAATAATCAGGTCTTCTTTTGAAAGAGTCAGAAGCTGTGAGGCTCAGTGGTGAGGCTCCTGAGGTGCAGAACGAGCCGAACCTGGATAAAAGACTTAAACGGGAAACACAAAAATATTCTCCTGCTGGTATGAATTCTCATCCACCTAAGAAAATGGTGAGATCACCTCTCATCCACAAGGCTTCCAGGAATTCCAGGCTTATGAGTCGTTCTGAAACAATAAAACCCAGGCTAGTGAAGTCAAGCCAGCCCTTGTTTTTACTAAAGTAGCATTTCTTTAATGTTTAAATCAGGGGTGCCCAATCTTGGTCCTTGATTGACGGTATCCAGCAGGTTTTGTTGTTTTTCTGTTCCAACACACTTGATTCAGAGGTTGAATCACCTGTGCAGCAGCTCATCAGGCTCTGCAGAAGCCTGATAATTACCTGATGATTGAAATCAGGTGTGCTGAAGCAGAGTTAAAACCAATACCTGCTGGATACCGGCCCTCCAGCACCAGGATTCGGCACCCCTGGTTTAAATAAATAGAGGTAAAAAAAGAAGTTAAAAACACACCTAAAATTAGTTTTTCTTTAATTATTAAACAGAAATAAAACTTTGCATTTAAAATCTGACGTCCTCAAACACGTGTACCTGATTTGGTTTTAAAAAAATGCTGAGTCATGCTATCCTCTCTTTCATACACTGCTCTGTTCACAGAGGAGCCAGAAACATCAGATTGAATTGATTTAAGCTAAAGCTGACCTCTAAATCACTTTATTTCAATGTGAGCCTCCCCGAGTGAACGCTGAACCCAGTCAGCAGCTGATCATACCTGTATGGCTTGAAGTTTGCCGATCGGAGCTCCAAACGCTGTCCGTTTGAGCGCGTAGTCGGCAGCGCAGTCCAGAGAAGCCTGAGCAATGCCGAGAGCCTGAGATGCAATACCGAGCCGTCCGCTGTCTAGGGTTTGCTGGGAGACACAGAATGTTCATAAAAATGATGTTTAAGTCTCAGTGAAACTAAATCTTAGGGGTAAAAGAGATCAAATAATAATTTTTATTTGTGAGTTCCGTTTTAGGCCTGAGGTAATCTTATAAAACAATAAAAACAACAACAGACACCAAGTAAAGATGGCTGTTAAGAGAAAACCAGTTTAAACAGTTCAGTCTGTATTTGTGAGGTAGGATGGAAGTGAAATCTAGAGCAGAGGCTCCATTTCCCACTGTGGTAAGACGAGCAGCAGGAACAAGGAGGAGAATGAAGATCTGAGAGAGTGAGAAGAAGGTAAGATGCTCCGACAGGGCAGGGCAGGGGAATGGATGCATGTGAAAGTGAGCGGCAGAATTCTGGATCGCACAACAGCTACTGGAGCTGGGAGGACTGGGATGATGAGCTCCATGGAGGGATGTCCAGGATGCTCCAGCCTGCAACGTTCTGAAGGAGCTGGAATCTGTGGAGGGATTTGGGTGTGACTGTAGTATAAATGAGTGTTGTGGATGGAGGCCAGTGATGTGTAGGTGATGTGGGGGAGACGGTGGCACAGGAGTTAAGTGCTCGCCCCGTAATCAGAAGGTTGCAGGTCTGTCACTGTCGTTGTGTCCTTGGGCAAGACACTTAACCCACGTTGCCTGCTGGTGGTGGTCGGAGGGACCGGTGGCGCCAGTGCTCGGCAGCCTCGCCTCTGTCAGTGCGCCCCAGGGCAGCTGTGGCTACATCGTAGCTCATCCCCACCAGTGTGTGAATGGGTGTGTGAATGGGTGAATGACTGATTGTGTTGTAAAGTGCCTTGGGGGGTTCCAAGACTCTAAAAGGCGCTATATCAAATACAGGCCATTTACCATGTTGGAATGACGAAGGTACATCATAAAGATGGTACCTGAGGGAAGGGCGGATGGAGAAAGTGTCTGTGAAACACTAAGAAGAAGATCCCTGAACCCCAAACACACACACACAATCTCACTTTGCAGACCACGATAGTAACTCAGGAAACTAATCAATCCACTAGTGAGAAGGAACGTCGCCACATATGACATTTAGAAGTTCTAGAGTACCATGGCAATCTTGAACCCGGCGCCCCGCGAGCCCAGCATGTTGTCCAGGGGAATCCTGCAGTCCTCCAGGATGATATTAGCGGTGGACGAGGCTCTGATGCCTAACTTGTCCTCTTTCTTCCCCAGAGAAAGGCCAGAGTGAGGCATGGGAACCAGGAAGGCACTGATACCCTGAAGGGACAAGGAACAACAGTCCGTTAGATAAACATTCACTCCATCAGATCCATGCCTCGCCCCTGCAGCCAGAGGCCCGCGGTGCGTCACCACGTGCCTTGTGTTTGAGCTTCTTATCTGTGGTGGCGAACACAATGACAGCTGAGGCGTCCCAGCTGTTGGTGATCCAGGCTTTGGTCCCATTCAGCACCCAATGGTCTCCATCCTGGTGCGCCATGGTGGAGGCTGCACCTGCGTCACTGCCGTTACCTGAGATTTAAACCCTTAGGACATCATTCGTTCTTTCACACAGACAAACCACTGGGATGATGAAACCTGAAGGTTACCTGGCTCACTGAGGGCAAAGCAGCCAACCTTCTCTCCTGTGGTGAACGGAGAAATCCACCGTTTCTTCTGTTCTTCTGTGCCAAACTTCAAGACAGGTCCAACGTAGAGGGACTGGGAATCCCAGTGACAGAACAGGACATTAACACACAGCAGCACCAACTCAACATCACCGCTGTTAGTTCTTCATGCTGACAGGCTGCACCCACATTGTTAACAGACACGATGACTCCGGTGCTGGCACAGCCTCTGCTGATCTCCTCCAGAGCCAGACAGTAGGCCAGGTAGTCCATGCCTGCTCCTCCCAGATCCTCTGGGACCTCTATGGCCATCACACCTATCGAACCCAACTCCTTGATCTGGACAAGAACATGGACAGTGTAGTGATGTTTCTGGTTCTTCATAACAACAAGCTATTGCTTGTGGTAAAAAAATAAAATAAAAAACTCCTGTTTCGACAAGCATTAACACAGTTTTCTTTTAACAATTCTTCTATTAGACACATGTCTAATCAAGCTAGAAGACTAATGATAACAAGAACCTGATTACCCATAACAGCCGTGATTGTGCGTACCTGTTTAGCGGGGTAAGCGTGTTCTTTATCGAGTTTGGCTGCAACAGGGATCAGCTCTTTGTCGGCGTAGTCTCTGCAGGTCTGTCTCAGTAACTGGTGGGTCTCTGGGAGCTCTGCCAGCTGGGACAGACCTCGACAGCCACTGAGACACAAACCCAGAGCTGAGGGACAGAAAACAACAGGATTCAAAAAGCCATCATGGCTGTCGCTGCCGTTTGGTGCTATCAACATCTTAGTTTGGTTCACATGTGTGGATGTAGAGGATGTTCCTGTTCTTATGTTTAGGTATTTAACAGACACTTTTGTCCAGAGCGAAGTACAAGTGACAATAAAGCCAGCAGGTTGCCCTCGAAGCTAACAACAAACACTAATTAGTTAATCCTAGGTGGCAGCAAGGCAGCATAATGAATCATAAAGGGAAGTGAATGGTAAATGACCTGTATTTTTACAGTGCCTTCTTAGGATTCTACAACCCCCCAAGGCACTTAACAACACAGTCATTCACCCATTCACACACTGGTGGGGATGAGCTGCAATGGAGCCACAGCTGTCCTGGGACACACTGACAGAAGCGAGGCCTGCCGAACACTGGTGCCACCGGTCCCTCCGACCACCACCAGCAGGCAAGGCAGGTTAAGTGTCTTGCCCAGGGACACAACAGCAGCATTCTCTGGTCAGAGTCGGGACTGAACCTGCAACCTCCCAATTACGGGACAACCCGCTCTACCTCCTGAGCTACTGCTGTCCCAAACAAGGAGTGGACAGTTGAGTGGGGAACGGGTGCTGGGAGGGTCCTAGTTTAGAAGATGCTCTCTGAAGAACTGGGTCTTCAGAACTTTCTTGAAATTTGACAATGACACCGCTGATCTAGTAGTGCTTGGTAGGTCATTCAAGAGTCTTGATTGTCCTGAGCATGGTGTAGGCACTGCTAGCTGAAAATTGATGGCTGGAGCAGCTGGGTCGTGACGTAGGCCTTTGCAAGAGGATTCAGGTAGATGGGAGCCATACCATCCAGGACTTTGTATGATACTGTTAGCAATTTAGATTTGATGCGTTCAGTTACTGGTAGCCAATGGAGCTCAATGAACAGAGGGATGACATGTGCTCTTTTAGGCTGACTGAAAACCACTGCTGCATTCTGGACCATTTGAAGAGGTCTCACAGTGCAGGCTGGAAGTCCAGCTAGAAGGCCATTGCAGTAGTCGAGTCGGGAGATTGCACCAGGAGCTGGGTGGCATATTGTGTTAGATATGGTCTGATCTTTCGTATGTTATACAGCGCAAAGCGGCATGAACGAGCAACAGAGTCAACGGAACCAAAGATAGGGAATTTGATTTTGGATTAAGATATTGTGCCGTATGGATGGTTTAGCTGGGATGACAATTCAGTTTTAGAGAGGTTGAGTTGGAGATGGTGAGATTTCATCCATCTTGATATGTCAGAAAGATAGTCCGAGATTCGTGCAGAGACTGTGAGGTCGTCCGGCGGGGATGACTGATAGAGCTGGGTGTCATCAGCATAGCAGTGGTAGGTAAAGTCATGTGATCAAATTATCTCACCCAGTGAGGTGGTGTATATGGCAAAAAGAAGAGGTCCTAGTACAGAGCCTTGGGGGACTCTAATGGCAAGATGGTGAACAGAAGAAGATTGACCGAGCCAAGATACACTGAAGGATCGTCCTGTCTGTGTCAGGTAAGATTCAAACCAGGAAAGCGCTTTCCTTGTGATGCTTATGCTAAAGAGTACGCACAAAAGGAAGCCATTGTTGACAGTGTCAAATGCAGCCAACAGGTCAAGCAGGATAAGTACTGAGGATCTGGTAGTTGCTCTAGATTATTTTAAAGCTTCTGTGACAGCTGAAAGTGTTTTTTCACCTTTACCTCCATCCAAACCTGAAGGAATGGAAGATGGTGATGACAATGTCATCTGATGATGATATTGCTGCTTGTTTTGGGCCTCTTGTATTTTCACTGATTTTCAAAATTGTGTTTATAAGCTCAAATTGGAAGTTTTAGCTAGTAAACAAGCTGCAGCTGGTGTGAGTATTCACGACTTCTGCTTGTCTTACAGGACGTTTCCTGCAAGAACCTGAAGGTAATATCTGATTATGCAAAGACAGTCTGTTAGGCAGAATGAGGGCAAAGATGGAACTGGAATCTGCCTGAGTGACAGGTGACTCGAAGCTCTACTTTAGGTTTTTGCCATTTAGTACTTGGGTAGGTAGACATCACCATAAAATATACAACAAATCCAGGGTGGTATATAAGGTGTGAGAATGTTACTAGGAGGTAAATTCTAATTTTGATGTTTTGCAGCCCTGATAAACAGGAATTAATGACTGACAATGCTTCATTAAAGTGGCGCAATTAAACAGAAAGAACAAGAAAAGTAAATCCAGATGTTCACAAAGAATAAATCCCGATTTGAGTTTGTTGCATCCTGACTCAGGATTCCTGAGGCATGATGGGAAATATTTGAGTTGTAAACAAGATAAAAATCCTAAAGAGAAGTCCGTGGAGATGGATTACTGACTTCACAAAAAATGTACTGACAAGAGTCTATGATACGCACCACCAGCTCAATAGCTACTAGCACTGTAAGTGGGTGAAAGGTCAGGCTGAACATCAACTACCTTCACGTCAATAATAAATCCTTCAGTTAACAGAACCAAACAGCTGCTGCACACACTAGCCTGCCTCCACACCTGCACCAAAGCCTGCGGCCGCTGAGACTTCTACAGACAGCACACGGCTAACACTTTAGATTTAGGTTAACATGTTTGCATGTAACCCTTAACTCTTGTTAAATCAGAACAACAGACACCATGATTCATACCTAATTTGTCAGAAGATAGGTTTTAACGTCAGACACTGACATGCCGGTTCACCCAAAGTTGCTGGTGGGTTATGGGAACTAAGCTAAATGGTAACTAGCCCTCTTGTTATAGCAGCTATTGAGACAACCTGACCTCCTTTCTGTAAGCAAAACATCTCATAAATAAAAATGAACTGTTTAAGCTTATTATCTGCATTTGCTCACCTTTTCTGGCTTTAAAAAGTGCAGACATTGTGCCTTACTCTAAGGGCAACCTCTAGTAGAGTTAGCACACGTTCTGGTGCATTCAGGTATAGCCGTAATTTTGTAATTCTACATAAGAACCTAACTATGTTAGAAGCGTCAAATTACCATCCTGAGACATAGTTCAACCCTTTCATTACCTTTTTTTGTAAAATTATATATGGAAGGTATTCTCATGTACACTGATGTCTATGGGTATTCTATTGGCTTTCACTGAAGCCAGTTGATTTCAATCTTGTAAATTACGAGCAAAAACACTGTATGTAAAGAACACGTCAATCACGTGGTAAAATGTGTGATTCGATGTACCTTGGAAACGGCAGCTTCAACGTGAACGCCTCCAATATTTTATCTGTACACTATGTAAAACAACAAATTTGCTTTCTTCAAACGCCAATTAAAGGCAAAAAATAGCTTTTTTTCATACTAAAAACTGGGAACATTAATATTTTACACTAAACACACTATAGTTTCTGATGTTGTTTGTATGTTTTGCAATGTTTATTCGATTGGTAACTTTTGAATTATTTCTATAAGGTCTAACGGTGTTAGGAGAAAATTATTCAGTTTTCATACTGACACTAAAATTATAGCCCAGTATTTCTTTAGCAAATGTTTAAACATACGGTTATTGATTATTTACCTATTTATTTCATGCTGTCAGGATCTACTCTGGATTTGCTGTCAAAAACGTAACACATGCTAGTGCTGCTCTCTGTTCACATTTATTGTTATAACGTTGTCAGCTAAGGTGTGTTGTTTAATTCTGAGATTTCAAATGAAATAGCTTGAAAAATGAAAGCACAAATGCTTGAGATATTTTAAATAAATCAACCATATAAATTCAAAAACCTTATTTGACATTTCAAAAAGCTCCACTTCTAAAAGGATTAGTTTTTCCTCATGAACCTGCTGTTTATAATCCTACACGTCTTCTGCCCTCATCGAGGACCTATGTGTTGGATGTGGCAAGTGCCAATTTTATTATTATGCCATAAAATGCCATAATATAATTTAATATATAATAAACTATAAGATAAAACAAATTTCTTAACAAGCATTTCCCGTATCCGACTTTCACAAGAAAAAGACACTTTATCTTACATACATTCCACTCTGTTATACAATAAAACTAAAGATAAAATCAAACAAAACCAACATCATTTCTGTTGGGTAAATAATGGTAATCCAGGCAAGAGAGGAGCAGTTTTTTTCAACATGTTTATTTTTAGCACCATAAAAAGTCACTTAAACATGTCCGGTGTCATTGTGTCTTTCCCCTGGGATGGAGCGGTGATGGTAGAGATAGAGGAAAGGTAGTGGAGAGTAGGAGAAAAGAGTTGTTGATGAAATAAAAAGCTACAACAGCACCACATGCCCAGCTGGTGTCATTCACTTGCTGGCAGAGGTGAAGGTGAAGCATCCTCTCTGGTGGAACTGCATGTCTCTGATACGGCGCATGGACTGGATCTGGGGCTGGAAGGCGCAGAAGTCATTGTAGTGTCTGTAGTCACCGCACTCAAACAGGTACTGGTAGCCTCTGTATCCGGGGTACTGGTAACCCACCCACCTGAGGGGCATGGAGAGGGGGAGAGTGCTCAGGTCTGAGACACTTACCTCAACATCATTGAAATATCTCCTAGTCTAACTAACTTTACAGTTTATTCTGTGTTTCTGTTATCATCTGACCTCCATTGCCGTTACTATGTTTCAGTGATATTACAGAGGTATAGGACAGTTTCTTTGGTGATTTTCAGTGGCCAAACTAGCAGTTACAGAAGTCAGAATTAAATGAAAAAAGGCTTATTTAGTTCTTTGGGTTTCTCCAGTGGGAAATGTTTCAGAGTTTGGTGTTTATTTAAAACGGTCTTAGAGGTCACTGGGAGTGTTTTAGACATTGAGGAGTCTTTAAAGGGGGGCTTCTGGTCATAAAGAAGACATTTGTAGCGTAGCATGTTCTTAACGCTACACATTTAATGTCATTTGTCATTATGAAAGGGTTAGTGTTAATAAAACCAGTTCTGCAGAGCCTTTGGGGGTTAGGGTGAGATGGAGGAGCTATATTGAAGAGGTGATTGAAGGGGGTCTTTGGGGCCTTCGAATGGATATATTGGAGTGTTTTAGAGACACCATGGTCTTTGAGGACCACTAGACCACGTGCTAGATCATTTAAAGCACCTCTGGCTGTCTCCTGCAGAATTCTAACATTAAATATGGGAAAGTCCTTGAGAGGACTGCTGTTTGAATGTCTCACATTTTCTCACATTAAATCAATAAAATCCTGACTGAAAGTGACTGAACGAGTCCACTCACGATCCTCCTGGCACCCTCACGCTGCCCACTCTGTCACAGAAGCCGTGCGCCCAGAGGGTGGGCACGTCGTCCTCCTGGATCTCCATCTTGTTGCCCTTGAAGTCGGAGAGCTCATACAGGCAGATCTTGTGCTCCATGCTGTCCTGCAGAGAGGAAACAAAACTCAGATTGTCTCCGAGCTTCCTGTTTGTGTTTGTTTTCTAATGATCTAAACGAAGCAGGGATCTGCTCTTGGACCAAGAGGAGAAAAAAGAAAAGAGCTTACTAACATGATGACATTAGCTCTACCTCCTCTAGCTCCAGTCTCTAACGTAGACTTGTTGACTTCTTTTGAAATACATGAAAGTCAATTTTAGGCTTTGTGAAATCATTTCACTTTCAGTCACCGAGAGTATAGGCTGCTGCTGCTTCCTTTGCATTTCAGTTTCGTAAGAATTTGATCTGTTTTTTGGATCCCTGAAAGAGATGTCATGCCTTCCTCCATATAACAAACGATGTGTTGAGAGGTGAAGCGACTGCTGAGCATACCATGCGGATGGGCCTGAGGGACATGAGGCAGTCGCTGCGGTAGGAGTTGCTCCAGGTGTCCCAGCGAGGATACTCTCCCTTCTCCAGGATGAACATCTCGCCACGGAAGTTGGTCTGCTCGAAGGCAACAAAGCTGGAGGAAGGGGGGCCACCAGGGGGAGGGGGGTGACAGGGTGAAGCAGGGCAGAAGAGTTAGAGGAAGATCAGCAGAAGAATTATATATCTGTAAGTGTGTGTGTGTGTGTGTGTTTGTGTGTGTGTGTGTATGTGTGTGTGTGTGTGTATCCACTTACGGGCCGCACTCCACAATGATACTACGCACTCTATCCATGCCACGGTCACATACGTTCATGCACTCATTCTGGACCTCCATCATCCTGCCCTGGAAGTTCTCCTGATCAAACAGCATGATCTGCACACAGAGCATGTAGGCAGAGCTAAGCTAGAGCAGGATCACCTCTAACTGGAAAGTGTTGGTTAACTCATCTAGTTTCTGTAAGATTTTACATCCAGAACATGGGACGGCATTGTTTTATCTAAAACGTGCACTTTTCACCAATCCAACGTGCAATAATAAAATATAGGACACAGTCCACCTCTCTGTAATAATCTGAATTATCAGAACAAGTATTTTAAGATCTAACAATCAACCAAACCCATAAACAAATCTAAAGTAGTCTGGTTCAGCCTTGTTCGTTAAACACAGAGGTTGGTCTACTTTTAACTAGTTATGTTTACTTTTTCATTTACTGCCTACGGCATGTAGGCTAAACACCATTTCTGAAGTAATTTTGACCCATTTGTGTAATTTAGTTTAATTCAGCAGGAGACACAATGTGATTAATCTACTCTAATCTAACATCATCAGGTATCAGATTACATTTCACTCATTCTTTACTTTTTCCTCCTGCAGGTTTCTACACATTTTAGGGCTTCGGCTGTTTTGACGTTTGTTCTTTTTGCCCCTTGTACACCAAATGAACTCAGGTAGCAGTACTTTTTGCTCAGTTGTCCTGCACCTGCACTCAGCCCTCCTTTAACCTCTTCTAATCTCTTTGGCTAGTTTACTGGATTGAAATTAGGCTAATTTGAGGCACTGCCAAGCAGCAGCCTGCACAGAAAAACAAAAGTTTAAAAGAGCAGGGTCACTAAAATCACACAAATCCTGCAGTCATACAGTGTTACTATTAACCAATTTATGTGACTAGTTCCTGCTGTTTTTTATTATTCATCATCTCTATCAAAAATTGGGCTTCAGCTAAAATGAGAAAAACAACCCAAAAACAGAAGCCTTTGCCTTCTTACTGATTGGGTGAAGAAGCTCTTGCTCTAGAGTAAAATGCAGCGACTCACTCTGTAGGATCCCATGCCAGGCTCGCCGGTCTTGGTGGCCTTGCTGGTGGCAGCTGGGGCCGGGGCTCCCTTGTCCTTGGCATCGGTGCCCTGGCTTGAGGCGGACTTGGCAGTCTGAGACATGGTGAGGGGCTTCAGAAGAGTCTGGGTGAGAGATGCAGGAAGACAAGGGGTGAACAGAAATAGAGGTGCAAACGGAAGTGTCAGGATGACAGAGAGTGATGTGTAGGAGAAGCAGCTCCGGCAGAGGTGTAAACGTTGTCTGAGGCCATGTTGGTGGAGCTGTCTGTGGTGATTTATACGTAAAGCAAGTTTTTCTGCTTATGTGGGATGCTCATTTGGGCTCTGGACTTGTGTTTGGGCCTCACCTAAGCTGAGGGGTGGGGTATGTGGGCTCTGAAGCTTGTGTGCATGTCTGTGTCTGTGTGTCCTTACCTGCGTTGGTACAGATTGCTGTGCCGTGTGAAGGAGGCTGGCTCGTGCTGGTCCCGTCAGCGCCTGACTCAAGCTTTTATACTCTGGCAAAGGCTAAACGTAGAGGCTCATCGTACAATAGAAAACCTTTCGTCATCACAGTTGTCCTGAGCCAAAGCCACTGGGTCATCGCTTAGCCTGGAAGCGCTGCCCCCCCACCCCCCGGCCTGCCTGTAAGCATTTCGGCGTCAAAGGAAAGCCCTGACCGAGGCATTTTAACTGTGTGTTGGGCTGCTGGGCCTGTAAGCTATAGTTGTGTGTAGACACAATACATGCAAAGGGTCAGAGCTAATCCACAGCATCACCTGCACAGGGACAAAAAGGCCTCATATTTAGTGGTTTTGGAGCTCAGAACAAATACGTAGGATTCCTTCAGTCTGAAGAGCCACAGGAATATCCTACAGGACTACCAAAATAAATAAAATATATCATGATGCATATTTAACTCACTAACATTTGTTATTATAGGTGTTTAGGATGATCTAATTAAATGAACCGACAGGGAAACTGCTGTCCCGCCATACTTGGGGTAGGAAAATGTACTTTTAAAGATGTAAAGTAGGAAATGTTAGAACCATGTAGATAATAAAACACAACTTGCTACAAAAGTGATTTGTAAAAGTTATGTTTTAAAAAACTTGTGAGTCAGTCGGTGGTGCTGTCCCATTTTAACAGATGACAGCTCTTTTTCTAAACTTAATTTGCAACAGTTAGTGTGAACTTATAAGAATATAATTGTGTTCAGCTAAATTAATTCTAATTATTCACCATGTTATCTTTTTGTTCAAGTCAATTTCCCTCTGGGATTAATAAAGTATTTTTGAATTGAATTGAATTGAAGTCTAGGCTAGATTAACATGAGTTTTTTAACATTCAAGAGTTTTTCAGGTCATTTTGTCCTCACGCAATCATTCTGATTTAGATTTTTTATTATTATTATTATTATTATTATTATTATTATGTTTTGTCAAAGATAAACCAAGAATTCAAAAAACTAAATCAAATGTTAAATTATTGGTTTTAGCGTCCAGGAAACCGCAGAGAATGTCTCGGCTAGTAGAAGCTAACTGTTAGCATTAGCAACTTCACCACACATCAGAACTCCTGAGGAAAGATGTCCAAATATCAGTAAATATGACTCCCAAACCTGTGGAGGCCCAATTCCAAAACTCTTTATTATAAAGCCTTTCTTAACAATCAAACAAACAATTATTTGAAAAAATTTACATTCCTTGCTATCCACATTATAAGTTAGTTTAAAACATTCAGAACATGAAAAGTATTATTCATCATCCTAAAATTAACGTATTTCATTTGAAAATATTTTCAGAAAAGGTTTTTGAGCCATTGCTCAAACTTCCTACGCAGCAATGGATTGTGGGTGATAGCCTTTACTGAAGTCTGCATCAGTGAGTACTTGGGTTAAGTGCAAATCAAGTGCGCAAAGGGGCATGGTCATCTTCCATACTTGAGAATCAGGACATCCTACGCACTCACACCCCTGAAGAGGAACACGAAAATAGAAGAGCGCAAGGGTGGAAGTGCAATAACTGGGATTGGGCCCTATGGTTTCCTCTGAGGTTGCATTCAGCGAGTTCCTTCTCCCCCTAAGTACAACTTCCAAGGCACAGTCCTACTAGAGACCACTGCAAATGTATTGATTCATTGGGTGAAGCACACCTTTGTTGGAATCTAAAGAAAAAGGAATTTGTGTCCTGAAGGCATCCCACCACTTTTGCCCCAACATGTGGGCCAGCAGAATCTTTTTATACCAGAGAGAATATAAAGGGTTAACAATCTCAATGGTACTGGCTAATGTTAGCAAAGGTCAAATACTGCCCATTGACTGTTTACACATGTTATCATAGATGCACTAGTTATTGTCAGCAATAGTAATGTACTGGTCATAGTTCAGCTGTAATTATATCTGATGATGATTCTGGTGTCTGCTGGTAAAACCCAAACAGCAGTAAATGCTGGTGCTGGTATTAATTCTTTGTGCACGTGTAGAAGAAAAACAACTCCGTAAAACAAATGTACTTCAGGAAATTTCCTGATTTCATCATTATACTTCCACTCATTGTATTTCCAAACAGTAGAACTGAAGCAGCAGCCAATGTTAGTCAGATCGTGGGTATCATATGGAAGGCGGCTATGGCCTTTATTATTGTTTTGCTATAATTAAACCATCAGTACATCCTTGCTGAATGTCACCAGTTCCATCATTAGCTGTAACTCTCATAAACCAAAGGGCTTTTTCATGCCAGATATTTTCCCTCAATAAAGTAGTTAAAGTCCAGGTGTGTTAATGTGAGTTAGATTCTATATTTGCAGCTGGTTTGGTGATGCTAGCAAGCAGATATTCTTATTCATCATATGCAGCCCTCTGTAACACACGTGTGCCTTTTCTACTACAGGACAAAATGTCTCCTACGAAACAGACCTAATAATTAAAATCACTCTAAACTGCTCAGATAGCAAATATCTGAGCGTTTCCAGGACTTGTTTTCTTTACCTGCAATTATTTAAGTCATTTTTCTTGCAAAAAGACTTTTTTAAAAGTGTGACTTCACAAAAAAAATATTATTGATTATTTCTGATTATAACCAGTCACTCTGAGTTTTTCCAAGCAGGCTGAACATGAAAACAGTATCCTATATATCTATCTCCTGCGTTAGCTTCTGAGAGAAATGCTCCAATTTGAAAAACCTGACAGTGTGACATCACTCTGTCACTTAACATTCATGGGCTCACCCATTTTGGCTCATGACGGGGAAGGCTGTTGTTGGTTTAGTGTCCAGGAAACAACAGAGAATGTCTTGACTAGATTAGTAAAAGCTAACCATTAGCATTAGCAACCCCACCACACAGTAGAACTCTTCCAGGCTTGTGTTATTTGTGGAGATGAAACATCCATGTTGCTAAGTAAACAGAGTTAGTGGTAGAGTCATGTTGCTGTTATCAATCCAAAGTGAGAACCTGTCTACATCTTGTCATGTTCAGCTCAACTCTGATCTGGCTCACTCCTAGTTCCTGAAACAGGTGCACCGGAGCTTTATTTCCACTGAGAATTACTTAAAGGCATTCATTCTTACTAGAGATCACTGCAAATGTATTAAAACATGAGTAAACTAACACTTTAACAGTGAAGAAGTGAATAAAAACCCTCTTGCAGATCATTGGCTGGAACACAAACCCAGCATCCCTGTAAATGAAAAGCTCTCCTTGTTGATCTCTGGGGGTAAAACGAAGCTTGGTGGTGATGATGATGATTCTGGGATAAAATAAAATGGATTACATCAGGATTATGTCACCTCTGCTGTGATGATTTCCTCTCATGAAGCTGGATTAAAGTGTATTTGATACATGCAGATTAGGTGAAAATTAATCCTGCTGTGTAATCTGTAGGACTCCCACAACCTTCAGCTCAGGGTGTCAGAGTTTAATCACTTTCTGGTGTTACCTCAAATTAGTCTATAAAAATCATCATTTAACCTTTGATGCTGAACTCCTGCTCTAATTATTATATTTACGTTTATATTTACCCAAATTTAAAATGAGGGTTCGATTCGGAAGAAATAATTGTACGTTTACTTTGGCAGAAAGATGATTCTTTGGTATTTTAATCTAAAGCCTGGTCAATAAGGGTTTCAAAACAACACAAAGACCAAGAATTTCTTCTTCAAACACGTTCTCACTAATTTTCTGAGACATAATGGCTGTAGTTAGTGTTTCTCAAACAGGAAGGAGTGATGCGTACATAGATCAGGACTATTTTTAACCAGACTGAGTCACACCGGTCATGTGACATGGGCTAAATGCACTACTTAAAAGACAGTGTTTGTTTTTGGTTATGAAAGGACATTTAGTGTAAAAACCTGGATCAACCTGGCTGACTTTGTTTTTTAAAGACTGATTCATAATAAAATATAAGGAATTTAAAAAAAGTGTATTTCCAAACGTTTGAATTAGTTTACTCACATTTAGTTATTGTTCAGATTTTTCAAACTGAAGAAGTAAAACGCTGACAGATTTTTAAAACTGTGGAATCAGGATTTAGAATATTTTATTCCCAGAGATGAAACCTTCCCTTGTAATCCAGCTGGTCAAACGTCAGATATTAGGTCTCCAGAAAACCGATCCAAACCACTTCCTCTTTCTCCTCCTCTTTCATCAGTTTCATAAGACAGGAAGTTGATTTTTTTGTTTCGTTTATTTTATCATGACCTTGTTGCTAATCATTTAATCAAACTGCCTGTTTTACTTTTCTAGGATTAAGATTTAGACACTTCAGCCTGAGAAATGATCTCAACTCTCTTTTAGTTTTAGCTTTCAGATGAATCCTGTTATCTGGCAAAACAAACAAATTCAACATTTCCTGTCAAAGGAAGAGTTTCTCTAAAATGGTAAAACTTTCAGGACATTTTAAAGGTTTAAAAATGGGCTGAAACTTCTTTCGACGCACAGGGAATCAAGCTGTTATGTAGGACTTTGAGTGTCTCTGCTATCCTGTTTACAAGTAGGATTATATAATCTGTCACACACAAACACACATGTAGTGTTTAGTCACATAAAACCCACTTTACCCTCTGAGCATTCAGCTTCAGGGTTGAATCAAATAAAAGGTAAAACACGTTTTACCTGACTTGATTTTAAAACTGGTTGGAAGTTGTGCAGATGAAAACCTTAGAAGTGTTTTGACAGCTGGGATCAGTAGTTCTGGGTCATCATCACAGGCAGCGTAAACGAGACGGCCTAAGTGTTGCTACACCAGATGTCTGGATGAATAAATTCCTCTGTGCTGTTTATATTTCTGATTGCAGTGTTTCATAATCCTGCCTGTCACATGACAAAATCAGACATGAAACAGGGTGAAAAGATCAAAACACCAACCGACTTATTTTCTTTTTAAATTTGTAACCAAAATCTTTATTTAGATTATTTTTGATGCTGTTTTCTGACATTAATTAGAAAAAAGAACAAATTCCTATAATGAGAGAATGACTGACAGATTCAGCCACACTGAAATTATCTAAACAGAAATAGCTGTGAGCTGAATCATCCCCCCCCCACTGTCCTTACCCCCCCCCCCCATCTTTTCCCAGCTCTCTCTGTGTCTTGTGTCTCTTGTATTCCTGAAGCTCCCTGTCCACTGCCTTGGGTTGATACTGTGGTGTCTGCAATTCTGTCCCTCCACAGATTAGCCACGCTTTGTGGGGAGGGGAGGGGAGGGGAGGGGAGGCAGGTGGGGACAAAGAGTGGCCCCTCCCTGCTGCTGAGCTGGGGCTTTCAGCATGGCCCCTCGCCAGGGGAGGCTTTAAAAGGGTGGGGGCGCGTGGCTCCACTCACTCTCACAGCAGGACGACCCAAGAGCATCAGCAAGGTGAGTCCCTCGTCCCTCACCCAGCCAGAGGGTGCAGCAGCACCCTGATAAACACGCCAACCGTCAACCACCTCCCCTCCTCATCTGCACCAGCCCCAAAAGCCCAAGTGCCATCTGGGCTCCGGAGAGCTAAAGCTTCCATAACTAGACTCTCTTGGTCCTGCCATCACGCTCAGGCTGATTATTTTCTCCTGAATTTAAAAACGGATGGAGCTTTTCCATAAAGTTTGATGTTCTACAGATTTGCTCTAAGAATGAAACGAGACACAGCAAAAAACATCTTCATCTGCTGTTTTTGCATTCTGTCATCACTGTTTGAGCTTCTAATGGTTCTTCATGAGAGTCAAAAGCCCACTCGGGCTCTCTGACCAGCTCTTCACTCTAGCTCTCTGCTTTCTTCCTTCCAGACAAGATGACTCACCATTGCACCAAGTTCTCCGGCCACTGGAAGGTGAGTTGAGGAACTGACAAACACATCAGCTGAGCCTTGAAGGCTTCAGGTTGTCTCTTGGCTCAGACCATCTGACGATGCAGAGCCACCAGTAAACCTACCCTACAGGCTCAACCTCCCACTTCGGGCCGTCCCAACAAACAAGACCTCAAACTCAACCTCCTGAAGTGATTTTGCTGGTCTCCTGTGAATGCTAGCCCAGGACTTGGTGCTGACACGTCTTGTTTTTTCGGCTGACAGATCATTGTCTATGATGAGGAGTGCTTCCAGGGCCGCCGCCACGAGTTCACTTCCGAGTGCGGCAACGTGATGGAGTTCGGCTTTGAGAGCGTGCGTTCCCTCAGGGTGGAGAGTGGAGCGTGAGTACACTTACAGCACAAAGACCCAAAAGCCAGATGACAGACTTTTGACCTGAGTCTGTGTGTTAGGAGAGGTATAATGTTTCTTCTCTTGCCATTTCCTAGCTGGGTGGGTTATGAGCATGCCTCCTACCAGGGACAGCAGTTCATCCTGGAGAGGGGAGAGTACCCCCAGTGTGATGCCTTTGGAGGCAGCAATGCTTATCACATTGAGAGAATGACCTCCTTCAGACCCATTGCCTGTGCTGTAAGTCATCTGCTGCTCTTTGCTTTAGGAATGGAGACGGCTGTCTGACCCGGCCAACAGCTTACGTGTATTGTTCTAATGCACCCTCCTGTCTTGCAGAACCACAGAGAGTGTCGTATGACCATCTACGAGCGCGAAAACTTCCTGGGCCGTAAGGGTGAGCTTAGTGACGATTATCCCTCCCTCCAGGCTATGGGCTGGTGCAACAATGAAGTTGGCTCTCTTAGGATCCAGTCTGGAGCGTGAGTGTCCCCAGCTGTTTTCCTCCCACGTTTTAATTTCCTATCTACTGATCTATAATGGTTTTTTCTCGTGTTTTCATAACGTATTGCAACATTTGGTCTGGACTTCCTTTCCCTTCCCTCCACAGATTTGTGTGCTACCAGTACCCAGGTTATCGTGGCTACCAGTACATCATGGAGTGTGACCGTCATTGTGGAGAGTACAAACACTTCAGGGAGTTTGGCTCCCACTGCCAAACCCCTCAGATCCAGTCCATCCGCCGTATTCAGCAGTAACAACTTAACCTGATCTCCAATGTGACCCTTCACCCCAACCTCTCCCCCCGATGCCTTCTGGTGCTGAATAAACTGTTTTTCTTAAACCTCACTGACTTCCACCAATGTATCTGCTTAAACACAGTAAAACGTACAAACCCAATCAACTTTTTTCTCATTCAACCTTTAAAACTGTCAGTGTGTTGATGTGTGTGTGTGTGTGTGTGTGTGCATGGGTGAATGACTGGTAGTGTTGAAAACCACCTAAAATCCTAGAAACCGCTTCAAAATACAGGCCATTTACCTACAAAAACATCATAATCACCATCAGAATCTGAGCAAAAGCAGCAAACACAGTATCTACAAATATGTAAATTACAGCAGTCACTTCAAAGAGAAATGCAAATACAGCACTGAGATGACATTTTTCAGATCTTGCTACATTTGCATGTTTTTTTAACTAATTATCACTCTAATCACCAAGAAAATAATTTTGTTATTTTCAATCAAATTAAAAATAATTTTTACTTTTTAAAAAAATAATAACTTTCACTGCTAAATATTGGTTGAAGACAAACTAAGCCAAATCCATAAACAATTTGATATTGTCAAAAATCTATTTGAAGCTATCTTCGCTTATTGAATTTAGTCTGAATTCTAATTTTAAATGCAATAATAATAATTTTAAATGTTTAAAGTTGCTGAACACTGAAAACCCTTTTTTTTATTTCTGATTATAATTGGTCACTCTGAGTTTTTCATGCAGGCTGAACATGAAAATAGTCTCCTAAAACTATCTCCTGCATTAGCTTCTGATAGAAAATAGACGGTGAAACTCTAAAAAATCCTGACAGATCTACATCACACTGTCACTTAACATTCATGGACTCACCCATATTGACTCACGATGGGGAAGGCTGTTGGTGGTTTAGCGTCCAGGAAACAGCGGAAAACATCTTGGCTAGTAGAAGCTAACATTAGCATTAGCAAATCCACCAAACAGCAGAAGCTCCTCTAGGCTTGTGTAATTTGTAGAGATAAAACATCCACATTGCAAGTCAGTGGTAGAGTTGCATTGCAATTATCCAATTTGAGGTTAGATGTCCAAATATCAGGAAAGAAAACTCCATATCCTGCCGTCTGAAACTCAGCTGTGATGTGGTTCACTTTTCGTTTCTAGTAATGGTACACCAGTATATTTCCCCCGCTCCTGAGAATGAAGGCATTCATTCTTACGAGAGACCACTGCAAGTGTATTGATTAAACCAGTGTTCCACTCCTTTTATGAGTAAAATACGGTATACTCGTGATCATTTTAAAACTAAAAATATTAATTCAAAGGCCCAAGTACTCACTGAAGCATGTCATCTGCCACTTTTAATGACCATGTGTTAAACTGATAACTTCTCATGTTCAGAAAGTTTTTTGGGTCAACTACGGAAAATGGCATTAATGCGTGAGCTCAAGCAACATTACAAGACCCTACTTGATCTGTTACCACATGAGACTGTAACTATAATGTCTTTAAATCTGACAGCCTTTTAACTATTTTTTGTTGGCTTACGTTAATCAACTCATCGTAATTCTTTAAAAAATCTACTCACTGGTACTTCCATCATGTATGCTACTGGTATATCTACTGAAATATTTTCCTAAAGGAGTAGGTCAACTCATTTATCTGAACGTTTTCTTCCACAGAGAAACAGTTGTGAGAGTGTAAGGCCCATCTTTCTATCAGTTACAAACATGATAGTGCCTGGAATCTCCAGAGATCAGATTGTTCCTCTGAGTAAACAGAAGCTTTCTCAGCATCATATCACTCAAAGGAAAGAGCACTGGGCTCTAAAACGCTGTCTTTAAATGACGCATTCAGAGCAGACTCACAAAATGTCAGCACGCCATTAGAAGATCAATACATCAAACTATAGTTGCTGAACTCCTTGTCAGAAGACAGCTGTAGGCTGATGGGAGAGACGAGCTGAGATCAGACATGAAGCCGTTTTGCATGAATGACTGAAAAAAAAATCTCTATTTACTACAAAATGATTTTGTTTTGCAGCAGGGGTGACTTTGGACAGATTGTTTAAATAACAAAATACGAATGAGGAGAATGTTTACATTTGCAAGAACTCCATCCTCACCCCTCCCATGTGCTTCAATATGGAGAAAACAGCTAATTTTAAGCCTGTGTTCCCGTTATTATAGGATTGCATGGATAATCGGGTCTGAACGTGCAGCTGTCAGTACAACAGGAGTCTAAATCAGCATAGAGCACAGTGTTGCTGTTTTTGGAGGCCTTCTGCAGCTTACTCTGCATTTTGCATCTGTTTGTTTGCTAGAAAGGCTTTGTGAAAACAGCCTTAAGACAACATAGGAATGTGACCACAGCAGGTGCAACAGAGTCCTCCACTGGACGGTTGACAGATGATAATCACAAATAGGTAAAAGTGGAAATGGCCATTTGAAGCCCGAACCTGAAAAGCTTTCCAGGACACTGTTCTGTCCTGACGTGGGTTATTATGTCTAAAAAGGGACACGGACAAAGGTCCAGCGCTGCTGGTCAGCAAAAAATTCAAATGTTTACAACGATGAAAGTTGATTGTCCTGGTTTAAAATGACAAAATAAATAGCCAAATATTTGCTAATTATCTATTAGTTTGTTGATCCTAAAATGCATGTGAAAGAACTAGATTTTGTATTTTCATGTATTAAATAAAAAAATGAAAATCTGAACATGATGTCACTATAATGCCAAATGAAGTACACCCAAGCTTTATTTAACTGACAAAAACAAAAGCCCCTTATTTGTATGAAAGAAGATAACGGCACAATTTAGATTTCAAAAGCTGCACCTGAATGGAACAAGGACATGTCTCCCCATGATGCATTTTGGCATGTTTGGAGGAAGACAACATATTAACATAAAATCCCCTAAACGAACTTAAACTAAAAAAAAGACAACATTTTTTAGAGCTTGTGTTTCCCTAAAACTTTTTTATTAACATAATATCTGGTGAAAAAGTCACTGGTAAGTTTATTGTTTATTCAAAAATAGGCAATGAACAACAAGGAGATCCATAAAGGTGCACACCCACAAACTTTCTACAATGTTCGAAATGAAAGTAGGATGAAGCCAAAGCTTTTAAAGTCTCACTCATTTCTAGATTAGATGTCCAAATAAATGATTTCCTCCTGTGCATCATCTTAGTACAGACTATATGAGTCCACATATGCACAGATATTTGCTTACATGTGCATAAGTAAGCGAATAATAATGTTATTTTATTTCCATCAAACCACCTTTTTAATTTACAGATTTCTGAATTTTTTACTTTTTGAAGCTCCTGTATGTCTTCTCCCAAGAAAAAGATAGTGGCATCATCAGCCAACAGCACTAATTTAAGCATTGTTGATACCTTGCCACTGTCATTTATATATAAAAGAAACCATTTCGGACCCAAGACTGACCCCTGAGGAACACCACAAGCAATGCCCATGATGATTCATGTTCTCCCAGTTCCGTAAGTGCCTCTCAAATAACTCCTTATCCAGTTTAACGAAACCCCCCAATCCCATTTCGTTCCAGTTTGTCAATTAAAACATTATGATTAACCATGTCAAAGGCTTTTTTTCAGGTCAGTGAATATTTAAACAATGTGTAATTTATGGTTTGTGATTTCCTCCATTAAATCAATCCGTGGCAGTAAGGTAGAGCTCTTTGTCCTGAAACCAGATTGATTTGCTGCTGAGGAACTTATGCGTGTCTAGAAAATGTTGTAGTCTTTTACGAAAAAATTTTTCAAGACTCTTTGAGAATTGTGGGAGTAGAAAGACAAGTCTGTAGTTTATGACAGTGTTTGTCCCCAGATTTATACAGTGGAACCACTTTGGCTGTTTTCATTTGGTTTAAAAATCGACCCATTTGGAATGGCAAGTTAGATCGGCCACTTGGCTCTGGGCAGTGGTGAATCAACCACCATCACAACTTGTCCAGCTGCAAGATTGTCTGTATTCTTGTGCCACTTGTGTCACTTCTGTAAGTCAGGAAGATGATGGCAAATAAAGTTGGACCAGAAGTGGTCTGCCAGGACTTGGCTGTGTCGCCATCTCCGTCTGCCCAGGAGTTTGCTGAAAGCACAAATGGCTTGTGGAAGTGATGCATCATAACGTCCCATGAGTAGTAGGTTTGGGGTGACTGGGTCTAAGTCAGCAGCATCCGAGGAAATATATCCAAGTGGCTTTGCATTGAGAATTTCCTTTGCCTCAATCAAAACGGTCTGCAGAACAGATTCTGTGACAGTATGGTCCTGCAATACCACTCGAAGGGCTGCCTTCACTGACTTGATTTCCCGTTCCCATGCCCCCCCAAAATGAGGGGAACCTGGCGGGTTGAATCAGAACTCTATTTTTTGTCCAGCCAGTTGCTCTTGGAGAGGAGCTTCTATGGTTTGGAAGCTGGTCTGTAGTTCAGCCGCTCCGGAAATTGGTCAGCAGGGTTCTGAAACCTCGGTAAATGGAGCTGTTTCTTCTCAGGTAGAGCCAGCAGACCCTGAACCGCCAGCACTGCGTCGAAGTACTCGCAGTAGAGCAGGGCAGCACTCAAATGTGCACCATCTACCTCGACCAGTGGGCCCACCAATAGGGGTTCAGCAACAGACAGTAAGTATACAGACTGTACTTTTCCGACCCTGGTGTTGACATATGGGGTGTTGCCATGGTACATCATCGGGGCGACGATGCAAAAAGAGGAGGGGGGGGGGGGGTAGAATGTGATGGGACAGACAGTTCTGGTCTGGTCCCATCTCAGTAAAGAGGCAGGTGGCTCGCATTAGACGGATAAGCGGGGCGGGGCGAGCCATCCAATAAAAGGCAGCTGTCTGCTCCTCCAGTAGGACCGCTCTTGTGTGACACTACAGGTGTTAATGTGTGTTGAGACTCTAACTACAAGCAGCAACTGTAAGTACTCTCCCTCCCGTGTTGCCTGTGCGGCCTTAGCTAATGCCCATTGCTCTATTTTAACGTGTTTGGTATCGTGTGATCGCAGACTGGAGCTGTATCTGCTGTTACAGCATTAAACTGCACCCAGATATTCCTAACCAGATCTCGGCCCAT